TCCTCCTCCTCCTCCTCCTCCTCCTCCTCAGACTCAGACTCTGGCTGCACCTCCTTCTGCCTCTCTCTGATGGTCACTGCTCCTTTCTTGGCCTGAGAGCCGCTGTCACTGTTTGTCTGTTTCCTTTTGAGAGCAGGGACTTTAAAATCCTCACTGTGTCTCTCACTGTGTCCCTTACTGTGTCTCTCAGTGTGTCCCTCACTGTGTCTCTCAGTGTGTCCCTCACTGTGTCCCTCACTGTGTCCCTCACTGTGTCCCTTACTGTGTCTCTCAGTGTGTCCCTCACTGTGTCTCTCACTGTGTCCCTCACTGTGTCTCTCACTGTGTCCCTCACTGTGTCTCTCAGTGTGTCCTCTGCTGCTGTGTCTGCAGTGTTCACCACAGTCTGCTCTCCTGCTGCCGTTTCACTGTCATCACTTTTCTCCCTCCCTGTGTGACTGACAGCTGCTTCATCCTGTCCCTGTCTCTCAGTGTCAGAGTNAGCTGCTTCTTCATGTCCTTGTCTCTGAGTGTCAGAGTCTTCTTGACTCTGCTGTGTCTCTTTTGTCCCCTGACCATCTTGTCCAGCTTGTCTCTGTGTGTCTCCTCCCTCTGTGTTTTATTATCAGAGGGACTTTATCAGGACAGGCTCGGACTAAATGACCCTCCCTCCCACATCCAAAACACTTCAATGTCCCGGAGTTCACAAACACAACATAATCAAAATCCTCCACTGTCACATTAAACACGAGACTGAGCTCCTCGTCCTTTTTACTGAGGATCATCAGAACCTGCCGTCTGTGTGAAACCACATGCTTCAGCAGCGGAGATTTACAGCCCGACGGCAGTTTCCTGATCTGGGAAACGATCTTCCCGTGTCTCGCCAGCTCCCTCAACAAAACCTCATCACTGATGAACGGAGGGATGTTTGATATAGTGACTCTTTTAGCCGGTGTAGCGAGAGGAGACACCGACACAAACGTGTCATTCACAACAACTCCGGCCTCAGTAATCTTATTAACTTTCTCGACTCTGTCAACAAAGATCACAACAGCGCCGCTCATCCGAGCAGCTGATTTAATGCTGCTGTGACCCACAACTTCTCCCACCGCCAGACTGCAGTCCTCCACCCAACACTGAAACCATGTTTCCTGCTCAGTCTGGTGAGCTCCAGAAGACGCTGACCCCTGACCTCCTATTTACACACCAACACTAACACCTACACAACCTGAACTACACACTATTTACTACATCCACAGAAACTTTAGAAAGATAGAAAAACTCGAAAAATCCCACAAACGCTCTCTGCAACACCAAGCACCTCTCACTCCACCATTCACTCAGAGAGAGAGAGAGAGACACAGACAGAGAGAGAGAGAGACAGAGACAGAGAGAGACAGAGAGAGACAGAGAGACAGAGAGAGACAGAGAGACAGACAGAGAGAGAGAGAGAGAGACAGAGAGAGAGACACAGACAGAGAGACAGAGAGAGAGTGAGACAGAGAGACAGAGAGAGAGAGACAGAGACAGATTGATGTGATCAGATCAGCTCTGACAACAACTCTCTGACCTCCAGTGACTCTTGACCAAATCACATCTCAGAGCTAAAAGTCTCTGCAACGCGACACCTGTCCTCCCTCACCTGTGTCACTGTTTCAACACCAGAAGAAGAGATCACAAAATCAAAACCAACAGAAGAAGAAAGTTCATAAACAAACAAAAAATCATTCCTCAGCACATTCACTCACTGAGCTGAAGCTATTCCTCAAACAGCTGAGAGAAGGTCAAAGGTCAAGGTTCACAGCATCCTGACAACAGAAGCAGATTCTCCTGAGAGACTGAAGACAGAGTGAGGAGGAGGGGGAGGAAGAGGAGCATTTCCTCTCTGTCTATTCACAGAGACCAAACTGTGAAACCAACACCAGTCCAGTTATAGGCTGCAGCTCTGCTTTCCCCTCCCTGACAGACCCTGGCAGGCGTCACACCCTGCAGGGCCACAGGGGGCCACAGGGGGCCACAGGGGGCCACAGGGGGCCACAGGGGGCCACAGGGGGACTCAGATCTCACCCTGACAGGCTCCACATGTTCCACAGCTGGTACATGAAGAATCAATGAGAGACTGAGCATCACAATAAAACTGCCTGGTTGGTACAGAGGGACTTTTATTCTGACAGTCAACAGAAGAGACAGGAAATGAGGTGAAGGGAGGAAGAATATGAAGAAAAAAGAAAGACCCCCAACAAAACTACAACCAGAGACATTGCGATGACCTGGTCAGTAAACACTCTGGTTACCAGGACAACCATTCTTGTCTTCAGACCAGATCCTGGATCCTTCACTGGCGCCAGTTGGTGACTTCAAATGAACCAAAATATATTATTACAAACCAGGTGAGAACGTTCTCTCCTCTGATTGGTCAGATTGTCTGGAGCAGGAAAGTAAACACAGGAAGAAGTTGACGGTAACCATCAAGCTCAAACTTGTGAGTTCACCTGCTGGTGGGTCAGATCCAGTTCAGAACTCTTTCACACCAAAAACCAGACCAAGACCACCTCCTCGAGACCACCTCCTCGAGGCCACCTCCTCGAGGCCACCTCCTCGAGACCACCTCCTCGAGTACACCTCCTAGAGGCCACCTCCTCGAGGCCACCTCCTAGAGACCACCTCCTCGAGACCACCTCCTAGAGACCACCTCCTTCAAAGGGTCTGGCTCCGATGGTTTTGGTCTGATTACTGTTTTCACAAAACAAATCGTACCAAGAAAACAAACCAGTCTTCAGTTCTTCTGTCAGAGAACAAACACTCTGCTGATGCTACAGCAGCAGCTATGCTAACCTTTGTTAGCTTCTGCTGTCATCATACCTAAGACACGCCCACAGCTGCCAGTAGCCCCTCCCTCACAGGACTCTGTTTGAAAGATGGATTCTCTCCTTCCAGAAATCATTTATATTCAGACATTAAACAGGAAGTCTACAACATGATGAGAACACACACACACACACACACACACACACACACACACACACACACACACACACACACACACACTGAGTCTCTTACCCTGGAGATGGTCAGGGGCATGTTGAAGTCTTTGCCCCCCTGCAGCCTGAAGCCCCAGGGTCCGGGGCCGGGCAGAGACACGGTGTAGGAGCTCATGGTCCAGAAACTAGATCCTCAAATCCTCAAAGCGAGATGACGGGAGGGACAGGAGCCTCTGAAAGAGACAGGGACATGATGTCACACAGGTGAAGAACACACCTGACAAGAACCTGAAGACTGAGTCAAACACACAAACCAGAACCAGGACCAGGACCAGGACTGAGAGAGACCAGAAAGAGTGAGAGAGGAGACAGACAAGGACCTGCCTGCTCAGACGAGCTGAAGTGAAGCCTAAGAATAGACAGAGATAGCACTGTGGCATTGTGGGGAGTGGAGGGGTTAGGAGGGGTGAGGCAGGGAGGGGGGCCTGAAGGGAAAGGAGGGGGGCTGGACTTATATGGCGTGAAAGGGGACACCTGGTATGTCAGGCTTGCCGTGATTCACCGGGGTTAATATAGACCCAGCAGATTATTCTAGACCCCCTCCCTCCCCCCATTACATCCAGGGTCTCCCTCTGACCCAATCAGGGGCGATGCCAGGAAACATCTCATTATCTGAGCAGTGATAAAGAAACAGAAAGGTCAGAGAAGAGGACTGATACTGAAAGGTCAGAGCCTCACTACAGCACGTTGCTGGTTCAAATCCTTCCACATCACTGCTCAAGGTCCCTACGGCAACACATCAGGTTCAAATCCCACACCTCAGCCGACAGCAGCAGATACCAGATATTATTTTACCATTTCCTGTCAGTCATGTAATTGATGAATCAGCTGATCATTTCAGCTGCTCAGCTCAGTTAATATCACACTAATTAAAACTAATTAAAACCAATTAAAAGTGAGTGTGAAGCTGCTCTGACATTCTAATTAGACTCATTATAATTAACAGTGATCACAGCTGCTGTTCAAACAGGAGACTGAGCTGCTGTTGGGGACTATTTTCAGTCCACATTTGGTACTGTGGTGTGTGTGTGTGTGTGTGTGGTGTGTGTGTGTGTGTGGGGTGTGGTGTGTGTGTGTGTGTGGTGTGTGTGTGTGTGTGTGTGTTGTGAGTGGTGTGTGGTGTGGTGTTGGGGTGGTGGTTGATGGTCTGTTTGTGTGTGTGTGTGGTGTGTGTGTGTGTGTGTGTGTTGTGTGTGTGTGGTGTGTGGTGTGTGTTGTGTGTGTGTGTGTGTGGTGTGTGTGTGTGGTGTGTGTGTGTGGTGATGTGTGTGTGTGGTGTGATAATGTGCAGCAGTGATGACAATCAGATGTGTGAACTGTAACACACACACATCAGGTTAATGATCTCTTATTTTGGCAGGTGTTGACAACAGCTGAGAATTCCCTGACACAGAACATACACACACACACACACACACACACACACACACACACACACACACACACACACACAC